AATGTAATGAGCGTCCCAGAGATTGAACCCCAGTCTTCCTCCGCCTTTTGCCTGAAAATAGATTTGTTCTCACGCACAAAACAGATATTGCAATCACATTCACTTCTTGTTGATCCTCGTGGGGATTTGCTGCATCCCTACCAAAAATGTAAATGAATGCAGGGAGTTTTGGGGGCTGAGGGGGCGGGGATAGAAATCATCGGTGATAAATCACATTACCCGCAAATTCTGCTTAGCAACAAAACAAGACTGCACTGTAAGCAACAGCAACTCCGAATTAGTCCTGAGTCTACTATTTCCCTCACACTATTCCCTGTTATTGTCAGCTCACTCCATTTCCGTGTTTTATTGCACATTTACAAGAAAGCAAAACTGTGCTTTAGAAGAGTACATTTGTACAGGGACCACTTCCGATGTTAAAAAAAAAAAAAAAAGCACGGTGTAATGGATTTCCAGTACATATTTCTCAGCATGGTGGAATGTTAGTACAGGAAAGCAGAGGGGAGGGTTGGGGACCAGGCCTATCTCAATACCCCTTTCTGTAACTCATGGGAATGTCAGGTAGCAGTGACTAGTGAAGATGTGGCTAAATGGTGGCCTTTTTTTTGGCGTGCTGCCTGGGGTCTTTGTGGCGCGCACAAGACTTGCAAGACTGCCATTTTATTACGCCTTCGGAACCTTGGATGTCCGCTGTCGGACTAACAAGCTCGGGGAAGTGTAGTAAAAGGTCCAGGACATAGGGTGAGAGATATCTGAAGTCCACTTAATTACCTCAGAGACATATGGAGAGAGAGCGAGGAACACTCTGGGTGTGGATTTGTGTGAGCACATTTGTTTGTTCTGTGGTTGTGTTACACTAGTGGGGGAACGAAAGAAGAGGGAAAAAAAAGGCGATGACTCGCAGGTAATGGATTGGGTTTCTGCTTACATAATTTCTGCCTCCACCTTTAAAATTTTGAAACACTGACAAATATTAATGCAAGTTGTGCAAACTCGGGATCCTCGGGGGAGACTATCTCAGACGTTTCATGTCCCTCGATTAATAAATGATGTCCCCCTCTCTTGACACAGCCTATTCTTAACCCCCCGACTCTGTACAATGCTGCGAGACGATCATTTTTCAGGGTAGCCGGAGACAGCCTCAGCCTGCGTTGAAGTTTAGCTTGCTGTACGTTGTAATTTGCTGACGTTTCTTCTTCTTTTTTCTTGCTTTCTCTCCTCCTCACCCCCTCCCCCCTCCCCCACTTTTCCCAAATGATTTGCTTACAGATGTGACCAACCATTCCGCACTAGGTAAGACTTGTTTCATTTTTCACAGCACTATTCCCAAGAGTGAGAGCGCTGTTTGAGTTGTCACGTGTCTATGGAAGTGATGCAAATGCATGAATATAGAAAAAGGGTTAGGTGACGGGTGGGGCTTGGGAAGAGCCAACGCAACACCGAGATGCTGATGTTTGCCCAGTAAGGTACGCAATGCCCTGCAATCCCCACCCATCCCGTTTTCCCATATGTGTGCATGAGAATACACAATGGTGGCTTTCTCTGGCAAGTGGAGTGTGTGCTCTGTGCCTTCAATTTGAGTTTTATTCAAATGAGAATCAAATGTCCCAGATTGTTCAAAGAATACGCCAGCAGTGTTGACTTAAACAAGCATTGAACGGATGGTGTTTGTTTCCACTCTGTGGTGAGTGTGTGGAAATCTCACATGTGCTAAGCTGTGAACCCCTTTGCTGTTTCGGCAAGTCCACGTGTCAACAAGAAACCGCTGGTAGCGTGGATAGTGGCCATGTAGTGAGAGAAACCTGGATTTCTTGTTCCCGGAATTAACTTTCCTCTGAAAGTTCATCCATGCTTCAACTTTTCTTTTCTTTTTTTAAGGTGGTCTGCCATGTACTGAAGAGCTGAAAAGGACAAAAGTTTCAAACCTTCAAGTTTTTATACTTGGTAAAGACTTGGAGCAGTTTTACACTCTTAGCCATAAAAAAA